CAAGGTGGAACTTCTCCTGCTGGAGTTACCCTCCGAGCTGAGGGGCCACCTTGGCAGAGCCCAGGGACCTACCTTGAGGGAGAGGTAGAACCCATCGAAGGATCCTGTCAGTTTGAGCGACTTCTCATAGGCTTCCTCCCACTTTAACCCTCTGTCGACACTGATCTAAACAGGGACAGACAGAGGGATTCTGGGACTCAGGAGGCAGGACAAGTGCCTCAGTGCCTGTCTCACAAATCCCACCCTCAACACAAACTGGGTGCTGCTGTAGCCTAGAAACAGGCACCACCAGAGCATCCTCTGGGTAGGGCAGCCCCAGCCCCCAGGGCCTCCCCTGGCCTCCCTGGTGTGACTCCCAGCATCAGGGACCAAGGCAGATGTGACACAAACGTGACACAAAGCCCCAGGGCAGGGGGCAGACCCAGCAGCTCACAGCCCCAGACTGGGAAGCACTGGAAAGGACTGGCCTGCAGGAAGAGATGTGCAGGCTGCCCACCTTGTAAAACACAACCTGCCCATCCTGCGGGTGTCCCGGGGTCAGGAAGACCTCCTTGCTCTCCTCATAGATCTCATCCACTCCTGGGGCTAAATCTGTAGAAGGAGAAAAGACCAAACCACGTGTCAGCTGTAAGATCCATCTTCCCAAACCACCCTGCAAGAGCCTCGGGCTCTGCTGGGTGGGGACACCTCAGTGCCTGAGATGGCCATGGTGACAGTGCAGGCTGAACAGCCATCCATGAACACAAGGAGGAAGAGGGGACCTCAGAGGTGTACTAGGGAGAGGTCTCTCCACCCCTCATTTTTCTTACCTAGGATGCCCATGTCATATTTGCCCTCCTTCTTGTCCTTTTCAATCAGATAGTCAAAGGTGTCAGAAAAATACTGGAAGAGCATGTTCTGCTTGTCCACCTCCAGGCCCAGGATGCGGTTCAGGAACTTGGTGATGGAGCAGTCTGCAGGAGCATGGCAGGTCAGGGAACACAGTGCAGCTGGCACGGAGCCCACCAGCACCTTCCTGAGTGCCACCCAACAAGGCACCCAACAGCCCGGCCGCACGGCATGAGTGCACACAGAGGGGCTCTGGGCTGTTCCTCCAGGGGTCAGTGCTGTGGGAAGTGACCTCAGCGTGGGCAGGACCCTCCCTCAGAGCAAACACCCTGCCCCAGCTGCACAGCCCCCAAGGCTCTGGGCTGGCACAGACGGACCAGGTGGGGCCCCCCCCCCCCCTTCTCTCCCCTGCGCTGGGCAGGACGAGTTCATCACGTACCCTTCTCCACTGAGACCGTGCCATACTTCATCTGATTGCAGAAGATCCCCACGGAGATGAGACCTTGCTTCATTTCTGGAATGGCAGAAGGCAGCTTGTGTGTTTTGGTTTTCCTGCAGGGCTGCCCCCTCCAGCTCTGCCCGTTATTTCACAGCTGGGTCTCCCCCTGTGCCACCCCTGGCAGGGTGACGTGCATCTGGGTGGCCAGTGGCTCTGCTCACCAGCGAGCTGCTAAGCCAGTGCTGCTGTTCCCTCTGACCTGTGCTCCATTCATCAGGTAACCCAAACCTGAGACCGACCCAGCCAGCAAGACGCAGCAGAAACCCTGGAGCTGGTGATGCTCTTACCATGGAAGAACGCGTCCTCGCCCCTGTCGTAGCTCTTGGGCACAGGAACTCTGTTCTCCGTGTGGTTGAGGATAGTGGAGAGGACTCTGTCCAGTGCTTTAGCCCCGTACTGTGAAAGGAGCTGAGAGTCATGCACAGGAACAGCCTACACGGGCAGCCCAGCAGCAGCTCAGTGTCACAGAATCATGGAACCATTCTGGCTGGGAGAGACCTTCACGCTCGAGTCCAACCATGCCCTTCAAGCTCGAGTCCAACCATTACCCAAACACTACCAGGTCCCCACTGCCCCGTGTCCCTCACACCACATCTCCACGGCTTGGAAACCCCTCCAGGGGTGGGGATTCCACCACTGCCCTGGGCAGTGCACAACCAGATGCACAACGTGCTGAGAGACTGTTGTGTTCGCTGTAGGTGGGCTGCAGGCAGGGAGCCACAGGCAGGGAGCCGGGTGCTAGGCCAGATCCTGCCTGCAGATGCCAGCAATGATCTTCCTGGCTCTGCCTCCTACTGAAGGCACTCGCCAACTGCTTCAACCCCTCCTTGGCTGAGCTACCCTGACAACAGCCACCAGTTACCTTATTCTCAAAGTTGTACTTGCTGAGGTCTCGGGATTCAGTGGCCCGGCGGTCCCCGTGAGTTAAGGCACCCTGGGAAGACAGAGCGAGCAGAGAGATTGTACTTTTAGCTGTTGCAAAACACCAGAGGATGGCCAGAGCCAGGGCAAGAATGTGCCATGGGGGGGCAGCGTTCCTCCAGAATATTGAGATTTCACCAAAGTATTTGAGGATTTATCAGAAGTGAAGAAAAATGAAACTGAGACGAATTAAATATTCCATTAATTATTTCATCAACTTTCAGGAAACAGATGGGTGTAACACTCCAGTAACAGTGGGGGAATTCCAGCATCTGGAAGTGGGTTCTGCCTCCCTGAAATTCCTCCCGATGCCCTGGTTGCACACTCTTCACTTCCCCTCCCAGATCCCAGGCTGCCGAGAGCCGCCCGCGCGGGTGACGCAATCCTGAGCCCCCCACGCTGGCTGTGCCGCTGGGAGCACCCACAGGGGAGCTCTTCAGAGAGAGCTGGACCCACACGTTCATCTCCCTGCTGCAGGGCACTCACCAGGCTCTCCAGACGTTTTGCCACGATGGATGCAAACCTCCTCTCCCCTGCCAGCTCAGAGATAAGAAAGACATACTCTGGAGCAAAAACCTGGTTCGATCGGTGCGTTCGACCTGCAGGGGTGTGAGAAGAGTGGTGAAAAGAGAGGCTGGGACAGGAAGGGAAGCTGAGCAGGAGGTGCAAGAGACAAAACTTTCCATGTCGTGGCTGGCTTTCAAAGACCTCTCTTTTTTGGGGGAAAGGGCAGAGGCACAGTCACGCTCATCACCCTGCTGCTGATGCAGCCTGGGTGGAGTCGGCTTTATAGCCCTGACCCTCGGGGGCTGAGGAGTGACCCCCCGGCTTGAGCCAGGATCTGTGTTCTTTCCTTTGTCCTCACCTCAGAGGAACCGTCCCTCCCCACCCCACAGGGTGGAGCAGAAATCCCCAGGCACTGTGAGGACAGGAGGGTTCCTCCTCCCCATACTGCAAATCCCTCCTGAAGCCGACACAAACCTTCCCCTGAGGGACACCAGCCCCGGCTGCCCCAGCTCTGCGCTGCCAGCACGGCAGACATGGCAGCACCCGCCTGGCACAGAGGGAGGCTGAGCTCTCCCCCGTGGCTCTGGGTGGCCACACTCCCCCCTGTGCCCCCTGTGCCCCCGGGGCTCACCGAACTGCTGTATGGCCCGGTCTGCGCTCCAGGGCAGCTCCAGCGTCATGTGCACCCGGCGCTTCTGGTTTATCACCCGTCTGTCTGCTTGGAGAGAGATACCTGAGCTGGAGGCCTCGGAGATTATTGCTACAAGCTAAAGGAGAGAGACAACGAGTGAGAAAGGGGAGTGAGACTCCCAGACATCTGTAAAACTGCTCCAAGCAGCAGCCCAAAGCACAGCTCCTCAGCCCGGGAAGGGACTCGGACTCAGTGCCACCTTCCAGCAGGACAGAGAGAGGACAGAGGCTGCACAGCCTCGCTGGCCTGGCGCTGGCAAGGCGTGGGCACAAAGGCACCCACCCCCCTTCCCCTCCCCTCCCCGTGCACTGGCTCCCATGCAGAGGGAGCCTTCCTCACCTTTTCCCCTTTCATAAAACGCTCCTTCTCCTTCAGGTTGACGTGGTCGATGGAGAGGCCCTGCTCCGCCCGCGACTCGAACAGGACGGAGCCGTCCGCTCGGCAAACCACGCGGCCCTTGCGCCCCGTCATCTGCACACAGCACAGGGGCAGCCCGTCAGCAGGGCACAGGCCTGCCCAGCACGCCGAGCCCTCCAGCAGCTCAATGCCCAACAGCTTCTACAGACTGCAAGGACGGAGAGGAGACCCCCTTCCAGGAGGAAACCCTTTGCTGGCCCCTCTCCCTGTCACCCAAAACATACTCTTGACTGTAAGGAGTACCTCAGCCACACGCTCCGGGCCCCCAAAGTGATTGATCAGTTCATCCAAGGTATTGAGAGGTAGCTCTTTGCCCAGTGCTTTTACTTTAGCTAGGAGGTCCTGCTTCATCTTTTCCACGTGTTCTAGCTCTCTCAGGCCGTGCATCTCTTTCTGGGAAGGCAGCATGTGAAAGTTACCTGCAACAGAAAAATGCAAAGTTTAGAGTCATCTGGTAATAGAAAAAAAAGAGGGAGAAAAATAAAGTTCCAAAGGGCTTCTGGGAGTATTATCTGATGAGCAGACAAAGGAACTTTGACTTGCAAAAAATGCTGCTGAGCATGCAGTGACTTCTCTTTGAGCTTCCCCAGGTCCTTCCAGCACAAAGGAAAGAGCCTCACGTTGCCCCAGAGGAGGCTGAGGTTGGACATGAGGAAGAATTTCTTCCCTTTAAGGGTTGCCCAGGGCTGTGCCAGGCTGCCCAGGGCAGTGGTGGAGTCCCCACCCCTGGAGGGGTTTCCAAGCTGTGGAGATGTGGTGTGAGGGACACGGGGCAGTGGGGACCTGGCAGAGCTGGGGGATGGTTGGACTGGGTCAGCTGTAGGGTATGGCTCTGGCATTGGCTATACAGCATGGCCAAGGTAAGGTGCTGAGGCTCTGGTCTAGAGGTTAGGGAAATGTGGGGAAGAAGGTTGGGCTTGATGATCCATGGGGTCCTTTCCAACCACAGTGATTCTGATTCTGAGGTTGTCTCTAACAAAACCGACTCCGTGAGTCCAGGTTCTGGTGGGGGAAGGAGCAGGCAAGGCAAATTCTTCCTGCTCACTGATCCCAGCAGGTTAATGAGAATCAACCTCTCAGGCCCAACTTTGGCCACCTTGGGGTACAATCCAGCCGGCACTGGGGTGGGCACCGCCTCCAGCCGG